TAGTTCTGGTTTAGCCCAAACCAGGACAGAACATCATCCTGCTTTTCATTATTTTACAAAATGATAGTTTAGTGTGGATTTTTCTAGACTGAGAATTGAGTCAATTTAACTTCAGTTTAACTCCCAGTTCTCCTGCCAATTCTACTTCAGAGAGCCGGTGAGCTGTTCATGATATAGGATACCAGTGAAGGCATGGTTTGTTTATATAAAAGTATGTATATATCTATATAGACATGCATGTTCATTTTTAATATGTCACGGTTGTATTTGTGCTTTAATATGTCCAAAGTGTTCTACAAAACCAAAATTGGGTTTATGTTAGGGCGAGCAATCTCCAGTAAAATGTATAGGCTTTGTGTTGTATGGAATGCAAATTCTGGAGTCACTTAATTGGTGAGAACTGTTTTTCAAATGCAGAAGGCAGTTTCTGATCTCCAGAGATACATAATCATTGTACTGAATGCACATTAAAATATATCTGTGCATGTTTTCTTGTCTTTTAATATGACATCTTTATTGAAGTGATTTTTCCTTAGATGCCTTTTTTATTGACCATTTTATTTTCAAAATACTTCTAGGTTGCAGCTTGTAGAGATACAGGGTATGATTGGTTTGAACAGCTTCTTCAAAATGTAAGTAATTAATTTTGAATGTATGGTACAATCATTGTTAGAACTGTGAAATTTCTTTTGGTACTAAAATACATAGATGGGGGACTACAAGAGCAATCCTTTGCAGTAGACAGATTCAATTCATGCCATTTAAACATCTGACTTTTTTTTTTTTTCAATCTTCATTGGTGCAATTTTCTTTGTCTGTGACATTAGTCTATGTCTTTCCATATAATCTTTTTTAAAAATACTTCTTGGTTCTGGGAGGGGGCTTGTTTGTTTCTAATTTCATAGTCCTTTCAATAATAAGTAACATAACATGAAGTCCACAGCTAAGATACTTCTGAAATGAGGCATCTAGTGTCATGAAGATTTTTTTTTTTATGATATATAAGTGTATTTTCACATCCAGTATATTTGTTACACAGTTTATAGAAGCAGTGAATCTTCAGAGTATACGTATCCCAGGTTGGATCTGGGCTGACCACTGACAAATGACAAATGCTATTAACCCCTATCCTTTCCCAGGAGAGGAAGAGAGAGAGAATAAGGGACAGTGAGTTACGGGTTGGAAAGAAAACTAAAACAGCTTTAATGAAACAATAACAATTAAAAAGATAATATTAATAAGAAAATGATAAAATATGTACAAATATATACGAAACCAATACCGAACAGAACCCCTCTGATGGCCATGCATCACCACTGGGCTGCCACCCGGGAGGTCCCAGGCTGGACTTGGCAGTAGACAGGAATCTGCCTCAGGAGCTGGATTTGGGATCTGTATTCAGGAAGTGTGAATTGGGACCAAAGACAGAACGGACATGCCGGCCATCAAAGAAGAGTGCTTAACCCTTGTGATCTCTCAGTTTTATACTGAATATGACATATATGAGATAGAATATTTAGTTGGTCAGTTTTGGGTCACCTGTCTGGCTTGCTCCTCCCTGCAGGTGTGACCTCTTTCCTTACTTATGACCCTTTACTTTATGGCACTTCAACATGGGGCACAAGATTCAGCAGTGACCTTGGTTGCTATAGGAGCAAGTATAAGCCAGAGCTTTTCTGCATACCATTCCATTCTGCATACCATTGGTAGTAACTGTAATCACCTCGCGCTGTCACTGCTAGAAGCAGTCACTGTCTGGAAAAACGTGCTGTTGGTTTCAGAAAGTACAGTCACTTAGAAGACGCTTAGTTGCAAGTTAAAATCACTGAACAGAATTAGTTCTGTTCTAGCTCAAACCAGGATAATAGGTAACTTCTACATTATATTTTAGTGATTTTTCCAAGAATTAAACTTGCTTTGTTTATATCTCTTAACCTGTGTTATCATTCTCCTCTACATCATGTGTGCGCTGGTTAATTATTAAGCAAAAAAACCCTTTTGATTTTACTTTAGCCTGAAGTGCGATGAAAACAGGTAGCCAAGTAAACCAGAGCCTCTTAATGCCTGCACTGAAGAAAAGGCTGTTGTATGGTCTCAGTCCTTCTTAGACATTAAAGGATCTTCATGGACACAATTTCAGTACCTGAAGTCATATGGAGGAAGGCTAAATGATTAAAATGTTCATAAAACTGTATTTCATCTTTTTTTGCTATTTTTGCTTAGTGTCAAAAACAACACCGCTTTTGAATTGGCTTTTTTTTTCCCTAAGCGTTTTAAAAACCTTCTAACTTCTATTAGTTACTATGCTGCAAATATGACTACATTACTGTTTTCTGCATTATTTCATTAAGCACAAAGTTAACTTTCATCCCAATGCAAAAATCAGAACTTTTCTATTGTTTTATTGTGGTTAATTTTTCTTTACTTCTTTTGGATTTTGGTTTGATTTTTTTGCTTCCCTTGGTTTTTTCTTCACTGTGTAGCTTTTATGGAGAAGTTAAATAAATATTTCTGATGTGTAAAATCCTTGTTTATCAGTAGTAATTGTTATAAAATGAACATGTATCCAATGTAAATGGATACAACCTTAATAGTAAATAATTTTCTGTTTCATCTGCTACAGCTGTTGAAGTCAGAAGAGGATGCCTCATATAAACCTGTGAAGAAAGCCTGTACTCAACTTGTTGACAATTTGGTTGAGCACATTCTTAAATATGAGGAATCTTTATCAGGTAATATTATTTACAACCCAGTAACTAAACCTCTTTGAATTTTCTATGATACTATAACAGTGATTGTTCAAATTAGTATTGCAAAAAGTTACTGTTACAGAATTCCTGTTACAAAAGTGATGGTAATGAATTATTGCTTTGAAGTTCATTATGAACTTTTGAGCAGTGTATGATAATAAAGCTTCCCTAATTTTCACTAGCTAACCACAATAACAGAACTACTTTTAAAGTAACTTGTTCAAACTTTTAGATCACTAAAGCCAAAACAAACATGGCAAAATTTATTGACATGGGTATGTTCTAGAGTTGAAACAGGAATCATTGGCTGGGCTAGTGTTCTCTGTAGAGTAAGTAGTTTAAAAACTAGTGATGGCTTTGAAGCATCTTTGCTTCTTTTTTCACATATTTTGTGATTCCTTACAAATGTTAACACATTATGTTCTCATTTTCAATAAGACTATTCTGTATTGATCTTGAAAGACATGTAAAGAAAGAGGTATTCAAATGATGTTTAAGCCATATGTTTTTCGTTGATCAAACATTACTTACTATCCTTTTTGTATTTTGTAATCTGCAGATTCTGACAACAAAGGTGTGAATTCTGGTCGCTTGGTTGCTTGCATAACCACTTTGTTCTTATTCAGCAAAATCAGGCCCCAGCTAATGGTCAAACATGCCATGACCATGCAGCCATACCTGACCACTAAATGTAGTGTAAGTAGAGAAAATCAGTCTGTTTTTTTCCCAGTAATTAGGCATGGAAGTGAATGGCTGTCTTGTATACTTGATGAAACTGAAGGTAGGAAAAGAAAAATTAAAACTGTTTTTATTTCATAGTCATCATAGCTTCTGAAGATACAAGGGCCTTTTGATGATATCTGTAGCTTCTAAGATGCTGTTCCTCATCCTTTACCTCCACATTATATAGCCAAATGAATCTGAAACCTGTGCTGCTTCTTTCCTTTGAGGACTAAGACCCAGTTTTTCATCTGTTATGAAATAATTTCTTTAAATTGTTTTGGTTTATAGTCACAGTCTTAAAAGTAGTTACTATTTAACACATGACTCTTTAAGACTAAAAGTGTAGTTCCGTAAGACAGAGTGATCTAACATATTGCAGATGTATCAGAAGGAAAATGTCCTGCTCCATTCTCTTCCATACTTCACCTCTCATTTCCCTAGCTCTGGTGTTTTTGTATTCCCTTGTAAAGCAGTTTAGCTCACAAAAAATCATAGAGAGCTATAATGCTGAAACCCCCTCAATCCGATAAAATGCCCCCTGCCTCCTCTGAAACATTGCAGCACTTTCTGCCATTTTGATTAGCACAGTTGGCTCCATGAAGGTTGTGACGAACCTGTGATCTGACGGAAGGAGCTGGGAAAGATCATGCAGCTGTGTCTCAAGGAGGAGTGTGGTGGGTGGCAGCAATTCATTACATTAGGTCAGCTGCCCAGGGCAGGCTTGAAAGTAATTGTTATCAGCATAGGTTGTAGGTATAGCCCAGCATTTTCCACATTCACCCCTGGCACATTCTCTAGACACGTTTAAAACAGACTTTTAGAGCTGCTTCTGATCAAACAGTAAGGAAAGGGTTATCTGATTGTTTACTTGCTGCAGCCCATTTAGTGGGTTACATGAGTTTTGTACTTACACAGTTTGAAATTAATTGTAGAATTACCACTGTCAGCTTGAACATGTTAAATAGCTTGATGGTAGTATTTGGGAATTATCTGATCCTGATTAGTGGGCTCGATTTATCAAAAAAGTCAATTTCTAGAAGGATACATCTGTAATAGAGAAATGTTTTCCATAGATTCCTCACAATACATGATAACATAATAATTTTAATTCCTAAATAATTCCTAGATTTATTGTAAGACTCCAAAAAATTATCAGGACCAAAAGTTTTCAGGTCTGTCACAGCCATGATGAGAGGGGAAGTGCTGCTCATACAGGTGTTTTTTTTCAGCAATTCTGTAGAAGACAGAACTAGCTTTCATAATGATATGTAATTTAATAGCAGATGTAAACTATCTAAGTATTCTTTCAGATCTTTACTAAATATCTTACATCTGTTGGGATTTTTGACTATCAGTGCATATTAATAATGCTTAGCTTATAGGTAGCATGGCCAGAAATGTTAAATGCTGTAAATACTGTTGTTTCAGACCCAGAATGATTTCATGGTGATCTGCAATGTTGCAAAGATCTTAGAGCTTGTAGTGCCGCTAATGGAGCACCCAAGTGAGACCTTTCTTGCCACTATTGAGGAAGACCTCATGAAACTCATCATCAAATATGGCATGACGGTAAGCTTGTAATTACTACTATTCAGTTGATTCCATTTCATATCATGAAATGCATAGTTTTGATTTAAAGAAAGTCTGTCTTTTTTATGAAGATAACTTTTGAGCCATGAAAAATCAGTGTACTTGGTTTACTGGATTGTGTGTATATTGTTGCTATATTTTAATGAGTTTGAGCGAGTTTTCAGAGCAGCCTAGGAGATGGACATTGCATCTGTTAGATTGTTAGTTTTAGTTCAGTGTAGCTTTTTCATACATATTCACAAAAATCTCAATTTTAACTTCTAAATATGTAATTAATTTGTTCTTTCTTGCTCCTAGGTTGTTCAGCATTGTGTGAGCTGTCTTGGGGCTGTTGTGAATAAGGTCACCCAGAACTATAAATTTGTGTGGGCCTGTTTTAATAGATACTATGGTAAGTAAAATCACAATGTGTAGTAGTCACTTTTCAGTTTTGGCTACAAGTCTTATCTTAGGGATACACCACAATTAAACAATGTGACCAAACTTTTATCTTACTGTAGGTGCACTTTCGAAATTAAAAAGTCAACACCAAGAAGACCCCAACAGTACAATACTTACTGCCAATAAACCAGCACTCCTTAGATCACTTTTCACTGTTGGAGCACTGTGTCGGCATTTTGATTTCGATCAGGAAGATTTTAAGGGCAACAGTAAGGTAAAATAACACTTGTCTGTACTCTCCATGTCTTAGATATATTGAATGCTCCACTTTAATTTGAAAGGACATTATTCCTAGTCCCTCAAAGCTATGTGTTTTTTACTAATGCCTACAATATAGCTTTTTGATTTTTATATATGTGGTTTTGCAAAGGCCTTACAGTAAGATTGTGTTTCTCCTTTGCTTTGATATTTATACTTTTTAAGAGATTCAAAACATCTGTTTCATTTTCAAATAGCTATTATTTTTGTTTTAATTTGCTCAGGTTAACATTAAGGATAAAGTACTTGAACTGCTGATGTATTTTACAAAGCATTCAGATGAAGAAGTACAGACAAAAGCCATTATTGGCCTTGGTAAGAAATATTAATATTTTTTATTATTTTGCTATAGTAAAAATCCACGCATATTAGTAGGAATTCATGTATTTGTGTAGTGGCAGGGGAATGTGTTTAAAATCAAAATTTACTGTGTGTTTTATTTGAGAACTGGGTTTAGAAAAGTTGTCAAAGGGTTGCTAGTTGTATACTTCTGCAGCAAATTAGATGCTTTCGACAGTGAATGCCTTTTGATGTGTGAATGCCTTTTGATGTGTGACCATCACAGCGAATTTCCAAAGTTATGAAGGTGCTATTTTTTCTCCGCATGCAAGTATTTTGTAACTCCAAATCTTGTTTTTCGATACGCAAGGTATGGTTAAAGAACCTCTGGAAAAACTTGGAATATTTTAGGTGTAGGAACAGATATTTTGCAGGAGTCAAGGAAATTCTGACAGTTTTTACCAACTGAGGGGTGCTCTGAGAGATTTCACAAGGTGTTGAGATGATGTCATAATCTAGGTACTACAGTTTGTTTTGGGATTTTAGCTGTATTTCATTTTTTAAATAGAGACTTTATGTGAAGACATTTGTCTTTTATTTCAGTGACTTGCAGTAGTACATGAATTGCCATTGATTGGCTTGTATCACGATCATTCTCTGCTTAAGGACAAAAACTGTACATGTGAGAGAATCTTGTTTGGGCAGATAGGCTTTGGTTTCTCAAAGAGTTAATAAAGTTCATAGTTACAGCTTAGTCTAAAGAAAGTTGTCTCCCAGGCATGTGAGCTTGTATTGTATAGTTTAACCATGGACAAGAATTGGCTTCTTTATATTGCTATTTAGGTGGCTTTTTTAGATATTGTGCTTCCTCTCAGGCTAGGGAGGGCTCTGAAGATAAGGACCAAGACTGAATCTTGGTTTCATACTCTATGAGAAACCATTTCAAGCAGCTGAGTGGGATTAATGGCTTTAGAGTTGCCTCTGTTGCAGGAGCAATGCTATGGTTTTCTGGACTAGTTGGCATTACATCAACGAACGCATTTACCGTAGTCCAGTCCAATTTAATTGTCTTCTACAGGATATTGCACATGGGATAGATGCTGTCTTCCTAACCATAGATATGATTGCTCTGCTCATGGAAGTGAACAATGTTGCATTCACCAAAAATGTTTCCAAATTACAGACTGAACTGTGAACAGTTGGGGGGAAACGGGGGTGGCTGTCAGTAGGTGTTCTTTAGATTATTTTTTTTCTCTGTTTGAAAGCATATCAGTCTTTATTTTAAGAAGCATAACTAGTTCTTGACAAGGGTAAGCTGAAGCTCAAAACAGTTCTATAGTGTGTATCTTCCAACAGATGTAGTCTTGGGAACGCACCAGATAGTTTTCAAGACAAGACCTTAATAGGTATATGAATAATGATAGCGAGAGGTATAAGTTTTACTGTGTTCACAGTATTGTTTTGGTTTTTTAAGATTTTATTTTTAAATCTTGTGATATTCATCAATTTTTCCAAACATCTGCCTCCATATGAATAACTCTCGCAGTTTCAGCAGAATGTTTTTCTCCAAATTGTTAGAAAACCAACAGGTAGTTTTTTGTAATGTTCCTCCGTTATTCTTGTGAGAGCTCCTAGTCATTCAGATGCAGGCCACTATATTGGACATGCTTCCAGGCCTCTGTAACTCTTCTTAGTGCAGCTGCCCTGGGTCCAAACCCCATCTTTATCCATCAGAGCCATGACTGATAGAAGTGTCATGGCTAACAAAACTCCTTATAAGCTATGGACAGTGTCCATATAGGAAAGCGATACTGTTTTGACTGGGAAAAGCTATGCTGTTAGGAGGTGATAAATTTCCTACTTCTATTTTGAAGAAAGACTTAAAAAGCAGAAATACAGTTTCTAGATGATAATAACATGGAATATTTCCTCTCTTTTTCCACCCTTAGGATTTGCGTTTATACAACACCCAAGTCTAATGTTCGAACAGGAGGTGAAGACTCTGTACAACAGCATTCTTTCAGATAAGAACTGTTCAGTCAACTTAAAAATCCAGGTGTTAAAAAACCTCCAGACCTACTTGCAGGAAGAGGATACACGTATGCAGCAGGCAGACAGAGACTGTAAGTGTTGAGTTTTTCTGTGCTAATGAGGCATGCAAAACTGAACTTCATTGCATACAATTACTGTATATGTGAACTGAGTCACTTAGGATTATTACCAGAGCAGTAATATCGTACCCAAAGTATCTTAGAATAATTTTCAAAAATTCATTTTGTGCATAGTTATGTACACATAATAGGTATATTATTTACTTTCAAGATGTGTGAATCCTGGAAGCAATCAAGAATGCATAATTGCTGTAGTGATTTTTATCAAAATCTCCTCTAAGATGAATTCACAGACAGAAAATAACAAATTTTTAAAACGAAAAACCATTTCTTAAGGAGCAAGACTTTAATTAAAGTAATGTCTCTTCAGTTTTATTATGTGTATTTACCATCAGATCGTTCTATGTTTCATGACATCATAAACCCATCTTAGGACAGCTGAAATGTGTATGTATTGTAAAGCTTAAAGATCAGCGTACATCAAGTAATGACAAAGTGAATGATTATAATGTTGTGAGTGTGCTATTGCTTTTGTCCTTTTTACAGGGAAAAAAGTAGCAAAACAGGAAGACCTGAAAGAAATGGGTGATATTTCCTCAGGGATGAGTAGTTCCATCATGCAGCTATACCTCAAACAGGTCCTTGAGGCTTTCTTTCATACCCAGTCCAGTGTACGCCACTTTGCTCTAAATGTCATTGCACTGACATTAAACCAGGGTCTCATCCATCCTGTTCAGGTATGGTAGGCTTTTATGGTGGGAGTTTTTGTTAATCAGATTTTCAGAGGTTTTCACACTTGCTACATAAATTTCCAGTTTTGTCTCTTCCAGCTGTGTTACAGTAATTTCTTATTGTAGCAAGGGGCCTTTACAGAAAGCATATTTTGAAATCTAGTTTATGTTGTTTAGCCAGTGAGACTCCAAATGCTGTATTTTCTATTTTTGGATCAAGATATAAAAGCCCAGACAGTACCTAAAGAGCATGTACAAATGTGCATTGGTGCATATTTCCGTTATAAATTTCAGGTGTATGGCAACTTTTCTTCATTTCATTCTTTGTCCTGGAGAGTGTGTTAGCTTGCCTCCACCTCAGTCCCCATGTCCTCCAAACGCTATGGAATTCCACAGTCAATGTCAGAACTTCAGTCATCATCTCCATTATTCTTTGCTTACATAATGTTTTTGTAATTATTTTTATACTGCAGCCGTCGTGCATGTTCAGTCATAAGTGGTGGGTTGTTTTTTTTATATGGCTTTTTTTTTGAGTATAAAGTGACTTCAGAGTTTAAGAGAAAGGGAAATACTAGCTCAAACTTCACACAACTTCTGTCATTTATAATGCTGGTCTCTCCTGTATTTTGTAGTATTTGCTTGCAAAAAGTAGTCAGATACTAAGTTACATAGAACTTCCTATTCTAGTTTCTGCAGTAGTCAGAATAGAACAAGAACAATAACATAGTAGAAGAACAAGGACTGAGAAAGAGAAGGTACAATGACTCTGAATAATCATTTTGTTTGTTTTTCAAGTGTGTGCCGTACTTAATTGCTATGGGCACAGATCCAGAGCCCTCTATGCGAAATAAAGCTGACCAGCAGTTGGTGGAAATAGACAAAAAATACGCTGGGTTCATTCATGTAAGTAATTCTAATTTAACATTTTACAAAATACTGTTCTGTTCTCTAGTGGTTTAATACCTAAATATGCCTCAGGTGCAGAAAAAGAATATAAAGTAACAAATAAACAGTAACTATAAGCAGCTGTAAAGATGATCTTGACTTTCCCTGTTTGGAGATTTCTGTTCTTAGAAATAGAAGGGATGTAACAATTTGAAATGTCTCTTCCAGTCCAAAATTTCCTTTAATTTATAATTCACATTAATATTTTCCTTACTGAATAGTACATGAGAGCATTTATTTCGTAACAGGTAAGGACAGCTGTTTCATAATGTTTAGCAATGATTTGCCTCTGTCAGTGGAATAGGGAAGAGAACACCCTGTAGAAGTCCAAGGCCTTAATGCATGTGTATTAGAATGTTAGAAATTGTAATCTAAGCAGAAGGAGCATAGGAAGCTGTTTAGGTCCAAGGGATCTTCGGAAGGAAAATCTGAGGGCTAAGTGAGGACTTGCGGAGTTGTGGCATAGTGCCAATGATTCTGTTTAAGATATGAAATTGAGCTGCAGCACCCTCTCCTTATTTCAGAAGGCTTCAGACTAGGTTCAGTGTGTGTACGATGTTGTGAGACTTCTCTTATCTGCTTGTAATCCGCTGCACTTGGAGGATTGCACTGTTGATGGCATCCAAACAGATACCTCATCTAGTAGGTGAAGGCTAGCGGATGAAACTTACTATGTTGGCAGCTGGGATTTAAGACATTGTATAGATGAAGCGACAACTCTGCTGAACAGCAGCATAGGTGGTATGAGGAGAGTTGGATATGCTGCCTAAGTAGAGATTCAGTTTGTTCTGAAACTAGAGCAGGAGCCTTGAAGTAAGTAAAATCAGCTGGAAATTACAGGATATATGCAAAACTCCCTCTTTTTCTGTTTCTTAGTCCTATTGTACCAGTATGGACTCGGTTGTTGTTTTCACTACAAGTGACATCAAGTGTACACATTTGTTAAAATACTCTGTTCATGTATAAAAACATTTTGGTATTCTTGAAAATTGCATTACCTGTCCATAGTGGGTAAACAGATTAGCGGTATGTTTCTAACAGAATATACGGTGAAAGCAGTTCACAAGACATTCTGATCTCTGCCACAAGTTCTGTTTTAATCCGTGTGCCGACTCAAAAGAGTATTGCGTCAGTGCAGGTTTTAAAGTGAAACTTCAGATGAGCATCTGCTTAAAAGGAATAAGTTTTACCACTTTGAAAGCAATAGTTTAAATAGAAATAAATACATTTCCATTTCAGATGAAAGCAGTGGCCGGTATGAAGATGTCTTACCAGGTACAACAGGCAATTAATACCTGCCCAAAAGATCCTGTAAGAGGTTTTAGACATGATGAATCATCCAGTGCGTTGTGTTCACACCTATACTCCATGATCCGAGGGAACCGACAACACAGACGAGCATTTCTAATTTCTTTGCTCAACCTCTTTGATGATACTGCAGTAAGCATCACATTTCCTTCATTTAAAAAGAAATCAAAACACACCATTACAAGCTTAAGTGCTTCTTTTACAATGTATTTTTATGACACAGTTATTGGTAACTTTATTTCCCTAATGTACTTTGTTTTGCTTTGTCATATAAGGTATTTACCTGTATAATATTAACTATGTAACAGAATGCATTTGTAACTGTTGCATCATTCTGTACCTTTCTATACCCAGTTTGGAGTGATCAGAAATAATGTCTCTTCAGGTATGACTAAATTTTGCATATATACATGTTATTTGGAGGGGTACGTAGCACAAAATTTCTGGTTGTGTTTTTGCTCTAGACTGTTAGGAGCACAGGGTAAGTGTATAAATCTAAGATCTGTCTGTGTATTTATATATACTTTTTTTTTAACTTCCAGAAAACAGAGGTGAATATGCTTTTGTACATAGCAGACAATCTAGCCTGTTTTCCTTATCAAACACAGGAAGAGCCACTGTTTATAATGCATCATATAGATATTACACTATCAGTTTCTGGTAGTAACCTACTACAGTCATTTAAAGAGGTATGTGCTTTTATATTTTAGTGTATTTATTATGGTGACAGCATAAGCTTCTCCACAATTTGGTCGATTTTTCAGTGAATACAGCACCATTATTGTAAAGTGGACTGGTAGCATTGCTTTGTAAACTAGCAGTTGAAAACAAGCAAACCTTTCTGTCCTGGCCTGCGTCTGGTAGACACTAGTTAAAAACTTTCCTTATATTGCTGCTTACATTATTAAAAAAGAATGTTGAATTTTGAGATCTTAGTATCAAATCTATGTCATTGCCTGATATGGCTGAATAATTATTAGTTGCATGCATCTGAAAGCGCATGAACCCAGAATCATCATGAAGTACTAGTTTATTTAGAAGTACTAGTTTGTATAATTTTAATAATAAAATCCACTTGGCGGTTTTATTTTTTTGTCAAGTAGCTGAGGGTAGTTGCATGTGTGTTGCCTGCGAGACTTTAAATACATTGTTTATTGCGAGAAAGGAGTGCACAGTTATGTTGGGTTTTTTAAGGCTACGTATAAGAACCTGAATCATGGTATAGTATCTGGTTTTGCGGCAATACACAACTCTGTAAGAAAAAGGCCTCTGCTCCTTGAAGACTTCAGTGTCTTCATTTCCTAGACAACTTCAACAGTAGAAGGTGCAAACTGTCAGGAAGCAAACCCATTTCTGGAACGTTCACTCTGACTAGTAAGCACAAGTCAGAGTTGATGACTGGAAAGTACACTGCTTTGAATTCTCACCCTACCGAAGCTGATTTTTAATCTGCTAGAAAGAGACAGTACATTCTTCAGACTGGAGACCCATGTGTGGCACCCTGCACAGAAAGGATGAGATCCTGCTTAGGGCATCTTAGGTTCCATGTTGTCAAAAATCATACATGTGCAGTAATGATGCACGTGTGACATTCTGTCGCTCTACAAGTGGTAGAACTGGTTATTATTAATCCTGCATATGATCACTTGAGGATTTCTTTGGTAATTAGTGTCATAGAATTTTAAGAGAGAAGGATTAAAACCAGCTTGGACTGGTCTGTACTAAAGTACATACAGAAATCTAGTGACACACAAATGATATACAGCTGAAAAAACCTCAGAATTTCCTTCCTGATTTATTGTATTTGGCCTTCTACAGCATTTTACTGTCACTGCTAACAAACTTGAGCAGTCTTTTAAGAATAACATGCCAGTGGAGTACTTGTTGCTTCAGTTCCTTCTGTACCCACTTGCAAAAGATGTGGGCTTTAGATCAATTTTTCAGCATATTTTTGATATATAACATTTTAATTTTGAATATCAAGTTATAAATTAATAACATTGTTCAGGGAATTCTTGCTAATTTAAGCCAGTAATGATTTTGGAAAGATTTTTTTAGAAACGTACATGATGCTACTTACTCTAATTTTTCAATGTGTGTTAACTTCTCTGTCTTGCAGTCTATGGTTAAAGACAAAAAAAAGGAAAGAAAACCTTCATCAGATGAGGAGACTGAGAGTGACAGTAACAGTGCTAGTGAGAGTGAAAGTGAGGAGGAAGCTTCTAAGCCTCGGAGGGTACGGAAACGAGTAGACTCCGATTCAGATTCTGACGAAGAAAATGATATAAATGCTGTGATGAAATGTTTACCAGAAAACTCAGCTCCTTTAATTGAGTTTGCAAATGTCTCCCAAGGCATATTACTACTTTTGATGCTGAAACAGCATTTAAAGAACCTCTGTGGATTCTCTGATAGGTAAGGATATTGAGACAAGAGGCCATGTCGTTATCCAGTGAGTTCTTTGTGAGGATTAATTTCGGAAGTTTTTTTTAAAAAGTTGATTGTAGTTAATTGTTTTGGCAATAGATTTGTGTAAGAGAAAAAACATAAACATGGTAAATTGAATGTAAGGAAACTTTGAGTTAGAAAAAGCAATTATTTAATTTCTTGCCATTTCTTTCATTGTATACGGAATGATTAAAAGTATATATAAAAATTGTAAGAGCTTTTCCTTGAACTTACTTTGGACTTTCCTTAAAAGCTCTTCCCTTTTCTTTAAACAGTAAAATTCAGAAATATTCTCCATCTGAATCTGCAAAAGTTTATGACAAAGCGATAAACAGGAAGACAGGAGTGCATTTCCATCCAAAACAAACTCTGGATTTTCTGCGGAGTGATATGGCTAATTCCAAGATCACTGAAGAAGTGAAGAGGAGTATAGTAAAACAGTACTTAGATGTAAGTAAAGTTGCTTTGCTGAAAACCTGAGGTCCTTTCAAACTAGGTAACACAGTATAAACTTAACCATAGGTGCTCATGTATTGAATGAACGGTTCAAAATGTTACTAAGTTCCTGGTAATCTTATGTGATACACTGATAATGCACCACTGCCTTTCAGGATGTTTAGCAGGACTGTCTTTCAAAGAGTTCTAATAAGTTTAAACACTAGAAAAATTAATTTCAGCTAGAGGATATTAATCTTTATGGAGTATTTTCTAATTTCTGGTATCCATCTTGTATACCTTTCCCATATAACTTGTTCATTTTATCCCTGTTTCCATCATAGGAACAGAGGCGGCTAGACCTAGTGTAGTTACATGCCCCTCCCCTAGTCTTTAAGTATCAATTAGAGAAACCATTTGGTTTTTATTTAATGTAGTGCAATATAAATGTCTATTTTTAAACTTACAGTGTGGACTAATCTGTTTTTTTTAATAGTTCAAGCTCCTTATGGAACATTTGGATCCCGATGAAGAGGAAGAAGATGGAGAGGTGTCAGCTAGCACAAATGCTCGGAACAAAGCAATTACCTCGCTGCTTGGAGGAGGCAGCCCTAAAAACAATGCAGCTGAGACAGAGGACGATGAAAGTGATGGGGAGGATAGAGGAGGAGGCACTTCAGGGGTGAGGCGGAGGAGGAGTCAACGTATTTCGCAGCGTATTACGTAAAATGATTTTTATGTGCTTATAAATGTCAGTCTATTATATTAAATGTACACCAAGTAATGTAATCCACATGAAAGAAAGCATTTTGTAGATAGAGATTCTCTACTTAACCGTTTATACAACTTTTGTAGAAAGTTTAACAGAAAAGACAATAAAAAAAACCAAACTAGAAAATGAGATTTATCCCGTATAAAAAGTTATTAATTTTCCTTTGGAATGTACTGTGTGTTACCCTTTTTATTGTTGCCAAGTTTTTATGTAGCTTTATGATTCATGTGTATATATAATTTTATATATCAATAAGAGATAAAGACACGGGTACAAATTAAGAGTATGTGGTTTTACAAGGATATGTTAACCCCTTGGCGCTGGCGGTCGCGGTGCGTCTCATTGCCGGCAATGGAATGTGTGCCGGGAAATCCCAACTCCCGGCGTCAAGGGATTAAAAGCAATAAAAGCAATAATTTCACTAAAGTTCTTTTGTGTAACACTTGGTCTTTTTTCCCCCCAATGTTTTAGTCATTGAGAAGGTCAAAACGAAATTCAGACTCTACGGAGTTGGCAGCACAGATGAATGAAAGTGTTGATGTCATGGATGTCATCGCTATTTGCTGTCCAAAGTACAAAGACCGACCACAAATTGCAAGAGTAGTACAGAAAACCAGCAATGGCTTCAGTGTTCAGTGGATGGCAGGCTCCTACAGTGGCTCCTGGACTGAGGCTAAGCGCCGTGATGGCCGCAAACTGGTGCCTTGGGTAGACACTATTAAAGAGTCAGACATTATTTACAAAAAAATTGCTCTAACGAGTGCTAATAAGCTGACTAATAAAGTTGTGCAGACTTTACGATCGCTGTATGCCGCCAAGGATGGAACTTCCAGCTAATGAATTTGTACATGCAGCCAAATTTACAGGAATTGAAATAACAGAAAAACTTGAAATACCAACTTTCTGGCAAAAAAAAAAAAAAAAAAAAAAATCAGTTAAATGAAGAGTAAGAATGGAACCTGGGACGCGGGAAAAAAGAAGGAAATGTTTGGTAAACATTTTTGTGGGAGCTTCCTTCGCTGTTGTGCAGCAGAAACTTCTCAGTTCATTTTTACTCCCACTGTATTATAGTTTAACAAAAAAATTGTTTATATCTTGAAAAAAAAACTTTCTGTTTAAAAAAAAATAAACAAGTGAATGTTGGAAATTAGTCTGTTAATGTTCTTAATAAAGTGTTCTTGGAGTTTAACCTAGCAGCGGATGGCTTTCTTTAGCTTAGCCCAGTTTCCAGGGAAGCAATGTTTTTCCAGGCTGTAAAATGGCAGAATCTCCTGGATATATAATTTATTCTGTTGAAGAAAAAAAAAAAAAAAAAAAAAAAAAAAAAAAAAAAAAAAAAAAAAAAAAGAAAAGAAAAAAAAAAGCATGCAGTATCTATGACCTATCTGCAGGAGGAGTTTTTGTAAATGTAGATTTTGATGTATTAGGTCACCCTGAAATAATACAAGAAAAGGGATCCCCAGCAAATCTGGTGGAACGAATACTGCAATAAATTTTTTTACTTCTCTTTGTTACTTGTCTGTTTCCATTTGAATTTCTTATTGTAAAGATCTGTTTAAATCCATTTATATTATTTTGCAGTCTTTTATGTAAAATTTACTATATCAGTGGTTTTCAAAACAAGGCATAAAATATTGTTTATACAGTTTGTATAGGCTGACTTCTGAATAATTGGTATCTTTTTATTTTTATCCCTTAAAGGGTGTAAACACAAGTTAACTCCAGGGTTTTATTGTATCCTGCAATATTTAGTATTAACTATATGATTTAGCACTGTGCCAAACACATTTTTGAGAGTACATTTTGATATAAAAAGAAACTATAGTTTATTCCTTGTATGCTTCAATTTCTTTCTAATGCTGTTCAAATGGTAATTTATGATAGTTTAAATCTGGGGAAAGCTGAATGACTCTTCTGCTTGGGCTAACTGGCCATGTGTGCATTTCTCTGGGTTAATGTAGAGAGGCTTGTGCCGAGAGGAGATAGCTACCAGTATCTGAGGAGTGAATGGGTATGAGTCTGGGTAGTTACACTACATTCCTTCACAAATGACTTTTTTAAAAAATGTTTGTATATTAGACTATTTTTTTTACTAATTGAAAGATGTTTTCACAATTTTGTAAATTGAAAATATGCTATTGAAAGCTTTCAGAAGCATTTGCTTCAACTGTGTTGCCACAGCCTTTCATAAGCAGTTCTCCTTCCTAGAGAGTAAGAAAAGTAGCATATTTGCGAACAGAAAAAAGCGTAAAACAGCTAAACTTTTTAGGGAACTATTAAACCCTGCTGTGTTTTCAAATGTATTTATCTAAAACAGATGTTCCTCAATGAGTAAATCTTTCTGCTATGTTTCTTTTCTTTTACGATTTTAATTTATGGTAGGAGGCTGTTTTTATGAAACTAGCTTGCAGAATTCTAATACGTTACTCGATTTGTGAGGAATAGTAACAGTATTCCAAAATATTCTCATGTACAAAAAAAAAAAAACATTAAACTGAAATGATTAATAACTCCTCAGAATCTAGTTAGTAATTGTTCCCATGGGAAATGCCGTTTTGCTGTTTCACCACTGGAGTTTTTCTGAACAAAAATATTTTTGCACCTTTTTGTTTTCACTGTTAATGGTGTTTTCTTCACTGCACAAAAAGCCACCTCTCAAGCTAAGATAGGTATCGTTAAAGTAGGGAGAAGTGGAAAACGCAGGAGTCGCTCCTCTGGAGCTCTGCAAGCAGGGCAGGTTTGCAGCAAACTACTATATTTCTCAGGGCCAGGAGCAGCTTTTATAGTGGGAAATTCATACTCTGAGAATAGAGGGGTTGTGTGACTACTAGGAAGAGCTGAAAATATTTCACAGGGAAACTACCAAATAAATGGTAAAACCAGGAAGTTCATACAGATGCAGTCTAAAATGAAGTTGTCTGTTAGCTGATGTTAATTATATTAAAGCATCTTATTTTTAATAGGTAACACAAATATTTCGTTGTTCATAAATAAACTGTTTTATGTGGCTTTCCCAATAGCAAGGAAGGGGTTTTATTTCAATTTGCTTGGTATTTCTTGGAATAAAAATATCAGAAAGAAATTACAATTGAACAATAGAAACCCAAAATCTAAAGTTGTCTTAGTTGAGAGGATTTGGACCATTACTATGTTGTGTGATATGCCAAAGGGCATAAGTCTCCTTGGTGGGATCTGTTGGCTATAATATAGTATACAGTTAGAAAATTAATTACAGATTGTTGAATAAATTGAGTACTGTTCTCACCAGTTAAAAGTTGAATTTTCCCCTTCTGTCCCACCCAGAGTAGTACCTAGTTTTGTTCTGCCTTAGCACAAACATTCAGATTGCTTGCTGCAAATGAAAAAGGTGTTAAGTGTTCAGTTTTGGGAAACAAATTCCTGATAGCTGTGTATAATAACGTGGGCTGATGGTTTTCAGCGGTGTGAAGTGGAAAGCCCGAGGTTGCGGCTCTGGTCGGGGCGGTGCGCAGCCTCTGGGTAGCAGTTGCAGTTTTACCAGCATGAACCACACGATCGGCAACAGCACATACCAGGATAGGGGTTTTTCTACACTAAAAAAAGGGATTTGGTTTTCTTTTTTTGAAGTGCTGCAGTGCAGTAATTGATACAGTGACAGAATTTTACTCCTTTGTGTTGACATAGCTTTGTAATATTTTTTCACTTTACGGCTAGTTTTTTACATACATAACTATAGTGATTATTGAATTTTTTTATTCTTACTGCTTTCTCCCTTTGTACATGGAAACTTGTTGAGGTAACTTGCCTAACAAAGGGATATTGTCAAGCTTTTAGAATTAACAGTAGCCATATTGTACTTTTTAAGAAAACAAGACACTTCCACAGTCTAAATAAATGAAAATGAAATTATTATTTTTAATCTTCCTCTTCAGTACTGTAAAATTGCAGAATAATTCTTGAGTATTTTCATTATCTGCAGCTATAAAGATCACAATAGTTTTTGACAAAACTTTTAATTATAAATAAGTATTTTTTTAAATGATTCAATAATGCCCTTTTGTATTTTGAGCTTCTTTATTGCTTATATTAACAACTCTTAACATGAATGAAAGTAGGTATATTCAGCATAAGTATTTTAGTGAGGTGTAGCCATTGAAAAAAGCTATTTAAAATTTTTAAATTTGAGTCAAAATTTAGCCTTTGTTTTGCTGTTGTGGTGTCACTAGTGAGAATATTGTTACTGTGGAAAAATTAGGTTGTGCTAAACGTTGGCTCTGACATGAAATATCTTGTAGCACTGAAATGTTCTTAAATGTGTTTGTGGCTCATGACTAAGAAGTCTGTGGTGGAGTCTGACTCACCCGGTGCTGGCGGAGCAGCGGGAGTTCTGCCGGAGTGCGGGTGTGGGGCGAGGAGCGGGTCAGCGCAACAGGCCCTCCCGGTGAAGCTAGCACGGTTTGGCTCCGAGCCCCTCACAGGTACTAACGGAGCTGCATTCAGACAAACTCCTAATGCTTTTGTTACGTGCCCGACGCTCCTGAAGTCTTGGGCCCTAGAACTAGTGAGAGCCCGAGGCACAAGTCCTATATCCTTGTTTGCTTCCACTCACTCGAGAGCCACACCATAATCGTACAAGCGTTTCCATATCCCTCAGAGAATTTGTCATCTTACCATTGAAGTACTGAGTTGTAATGGGTGGGTTCTTAATGTAAGTAGAGAGTTTTTAGATTTCATGGTTCCTTGACTAAATATTAAAGTGTTATTGTTATATACAAATAAATTCATAGTATTTTCATATTTCGTTTATTTAAAATAAAAGTTTTAAGAGTTCAGCTTGGACCCTTCCAAAATGAAACTTGCAAGTTTTCGTCCTAGAATGCGCATACACTTCGTTGATCCGTTTCTCATTGTGCTCACAACACTCCAGTTATGCCTGGGGCACCTGTAAGGCATCCAGGGAATCCCTTTTTTGGATTATTCTGAGAATTCTTGCCAGTCTATGCTCAAACCATCAGACGTAACTACATCTTTTCTAGTTTCTGTACAATTCAGATGTGCTTTCCCACCTAATTTTGGAGTTCCCTGTATTAGGAAGGGATAGTTCTTTTTTTAGCAGGAAGGCAGCTGCGTTCACTGCTTGCAGCTACCCAGGCTGTTCAGTGTCTCCTTTTAAAAATCCTCCTCAGCATCCAGCCCGAGGGTTGGTCTGGAGGAGCCGAGGGGCTGGGAGGGGAGAGTTCATCCTGCGGAGCAGCACTAGCTCAGGCAACCCAACACAGTTGTGGAGGTGGTTCAAGTCTGTGGTGTGATTTTAGCCCAGGCAAGGGAGCCTGGCACACTTGAGCTGCAAAAGTACATCACCAAATACCAGACTGTCCCAGTTACAGTTTGTGACACAGAGTGGCAAGTATTCTTCATTATTTCAGTGACTATTTAAAGAAATAGTCACTGAAATAATGAAATTTAAAGAAATTTGTTTTGACTTCAGAAGAGCTTTTCTCCATCACTGTACTTGCTGCAGCTGTGTTGACAGGCTCATACTTCTGCTTTGAAAACAAGTATCCGGCTTCCCAAAAGCTAGAATGGTGATTTAGCTGATTTCCACCCCCACCTCCCCAAGGGGATTCATTATTAAACAGGATACTACTTCCATGTTTGTAATGTAGCCTCTGCCTTTTGGAAGCTGTAGTTATGAGCACTAAACCATGTTGCATGGGGCAACGCTTCAACTCCTAGCTTTGGCTGTGAACCTCACTCCCCAACACCATTTTTTGTCAAATCGGCTCATTTTCAATGCACTTCCTCCTTTCCCTTCTCCCAAAACAGCTTCTGAATTTGTTTTACCTATCCCTTATTTGCAATTCTCTTCCCAACCATAGAGGGCTACAGAATTTGTTGGAAACAGCCCACGTCTGTCATTACAGTTATTTTATTTTTGAGAAACCATTCAGGGGATCCTCTGCCTCTCTTTTTGACTACACAAGCACAGACTGAGGTCTTACGCTTTCTTTGGGCAACAGCCTTCTTTCTGTCTCTTATTTTACGTGTTCAGTTCTCTTGTTAGGGTTTATGCTTGTACAGAAAAAAAAACAGAACCTGAACTGCACTTAAATTCCCTTGTTAGGGTTTATGCTTGTACAGAAAAAAACCAGAACCTGAACTGCACTTAAATTCTGGAGAAGCAGAAATACGTGCTTAGAGGAGACATTC